GAATAGAATCATCAGCGTAAGAATAGATAGAATTAGTTGTAGTGTGAAGTAAATCATTGAGAAAAAGAAGGAAGAGAGTATTTGAACGAACAGAACCCTGTGTGACACCACTATTGGTAGAGAAAGGGCAAGAGATCGATCCTCGAGAAGAACTGCAATGGATCGGTTGTCAATGAAGCTAGAAATTAGAGAGCAAAGTAGGGGATAGAAACCATAGGAGGGAAGTTTAGAAAGCAAAGACTTGTGCTGTCAAATGCTTTGGAGATGTCGAGGGACACGACGAAAGTTTACCCATAATCTCTAGATGATGACCAGCGATGGGTGCAATAGGAGAGCAGATCACCAGTAGATCTCGCCTGGTGAAAGCCATACTGGTGATCCGACAAAAGAGAATGGCGTTCAAGGTGACGGAGAAAATGGGAGTTCAAGTTATTTTCGAAAACTTCGAGAGGGATGAAGTTAGGGCAATGGGGCGATAGTTAGAGGGATTAGAATGGTCACCCTTCTTCGCGATGGGCTGAACCAAGGCATGCGTCCAAGAAGAATGAAAAGTTTGGGTTTTGAGGTAAAGGCGAAAGAGGCGAGCAAGCACAGGGGCCAGAGCTTCAGCACAGTGCCTCAGAACACGAGGAGGTATTCCGTCCGGTCCATGCACCTTACTCACATTCATCCTGGATAACACAACAGCAACACTACCAGTGAAGATTATGTAAATGTGCATAGGTTCAGTAGGAGGAACAGGGGTAGGAGGGATAGAGTTGGAATTGTCTAAGGTGGAGTTAGAGGAGAGTAAGGTGACAAAGGGATTGGCTTAATCAGGGTAGAGTTGGCTATAGAGCTTTCAGGTCGGTAAAGGAGAGGAATAGAGGGAGTGCAGAAGTTATTACAGATGTTTTTGGTTAAGGACCAGAAGGATTTACTAGAAGAAGAATTAGTCAGGACATCGGTCTTTCTTTTTTTAATAAAATTCCGCTTGGTCCTACGAAGGACCTTACAACAATTCCTAGAAGCAATGAAAGAGGGGTGGGTAATAGGAGAAGGAGATTGTTTCATAGCTTGATATGCCCTATCTCTCCCCCTGCATGCAAGAGAGCAGGAGCGATTGTAAAGTGAAAATTTTGGTAGAAGATGGGGTAAATACACTCATACGACCCTATATAAAGGAATGGGGTGCATCTGTCTCGGGATGGGTGGCAACCCTGGCTGGCTCTCTATGTCAGGTATAATCTGAAGTGTGAAATAAATAAGGAAATAAAAACTGAGCTGAGTATAGAAACAATTTGGATAGAATTAATCGATGGTAGGGAAAAATTAATCACAGGAGTAATATATAGACCTCCTAATCTTGATAGAGTTAATGAGCGACTTATTTGGGATAAAATGCGCAGGGCTTCCATACACAACAAAGTCTGTATAGTAAGCGACTTTAACTTTAGCCAAATAGATTGGATTGACCTTGCCAGTAACTCAGAATTAGAGGATTTTCTTAAAATAATCCAGGTCTGTTTACTAAGCCAACATATAACTGAACCCACCCGGGGTAATAATGTACTCGATTTAGTTCTGTCAAACAGAGAAAACCTGATTAGTAATGTCGAGGTAGGAAACGAACTTGCAAACAGCGATCACAAAGAAATTAGATTCCAGTTAGAATTTTAGAGCAGACGCAAGAAAAATTCCACTTAAGTCCCAGATTTCAGAAGGGCAGACTTTGATAGTTTGAAGAGGCAGCTGAGATAAGGGGTATCACGCTTGGGGGGTGAATTACATGACCTCACATAAAGTGATCTCACACAATATACCCACAGAGGGCGACCTCACCTTACTTGGAGACCTGACGGTTTAGGATGATCTGATCACGAGATCTGAGGTTGACGAGTTCCACAACAATTTAAATAATGAATTACCTAATGCACAAAGGCAGAACAAACCATACAGAAAACTCAGATCAAACAACAATGACCCTAAATGGATAGATAATTATTTAAAGAATATTATTGGAAAAGGAAGGAGAATAAATCGTGGTGAAGTTTACCTCCGATATTATTATAAGGAATTGGCCGGTAGGGTTAATACCGAGATAAGAAAAGCAAAGAGGAATAATGAACTGAAGGTAACAAGGGAGGCGAAGTCAAACCCCAAGGGATTCTATCAAATGTATCAAACTAAAACAAGAGAAAAGATTGGACTAATAGAGTCAGATACCGGCGAGCTAACTGATAACGACGGAGAAATGAGCAATAATCTGAATAAATATTTTTCAACAGTTTTCACCACCGAAAATTTAAAGATGATACCCGAGGCACCGACTCTATACAGAGTTAATGAAGAAAATAAATTAAGCGAGATAGTAGTGACTACTATTGATGTTAGAAAGCAAATAGACAAACTATAGCCTAATAAGTCACAAAGTCCCAATGAGATATTTGCCAGAGTATTAAAGGAATGTAAGGAAGAGCTTAGTATGCCCTTAGCAAAGTTGTTTAACATGTCCTTAAAAACGGGTGTAGTACCAGAATCCAAGAGGATAGCGAATGTAATACCGATTTTCAAGAAGGGAGATAGATCACTATCCTCTAACTACCGTCCAATCTGTCGAACATCAATTATGATGTGGTATATCTCGACTTTAGCAAAGCCTTCTACAAACTCCCCCACGAAAGACTAATAAGAAGAGTGGAGGCTCATGGCATTAAAGGAGATATTCTAAAATGGAATAGGGCGTGCTTACAGGACAGGAAACAGCGAGTGAGCATTAACAGCACTAAATCCGATTGGAGCAACGTCACTAGTGGAGTTACCCAAGGCTCAGTACTTGGAACATTATTATTTATTCGATACATAAACGACATAGATATCGGCGTAGACAGCAACATAAGTAAATTTGCTGATGACACTCAAATAGGGCGTGTAATTAAATCTGACGAGGACTCGGCAAAACTACAGGAAGATCTAAACAAATTTTTCGAATGGTCTGAAAATTGGCAGATGAAATTCAATGTGGACAAATGTAAAGTACTCAGTATAGGAGATGTAAACAGGGAGACCAGATACCAGATGAGCAACGATGTTATTGAGAAATCCGACTGCGAGAAAGATTTAGGAGTAATGATAAGTAGAAATCTTAAGCCAAGTAAACAATGTGAATGTGCTCGAAACAAGGCTAATAAAGTACTTGGTTTCATACAAAGGACTAGCGAGGTCATCCTAAAACTATATCTTACGCTTGTATGACCTCACTTGGATTAGGCAGTTCAATTCTGGTTACCGTATTACAGAATGGATATAGAATTCACGGAAAGAATTCAGGGGAGAATGGCAAGACTAATCCCGGGCATTAGGAACCTTGAATACAGAGACAGGTTAAAAGCATCTTAATTTGCACTCCCTCGAGAGGCGTAGAGTGAGAGGCGATATGATGAGGTGTATAAATGGAAGTCAGGGTTAAACAAAGGGGACATAACAAAGGTACTCAAACTATCCAACCAGGAGCGAACTCGTAACAATGGTTTTAAATTAGAGAAATTAAAATTTAGGCGAGAAATAGATAGCATTGGTTTGGAAATAGAGTAGTAGACGAGTGGAACAAGTTACAAAATATCATCATTAACGCGAATACGCTGGATAGCTTCAAACATAGGTTGGATGGATATATGAGCAGTAGGGGTTGTGTGTAAATCGTACTGCCCAGTATGGGCCAATAGGCCCGCTGCTGTTCCCTCCATTCTTATGTTCTTATGTTCTTATAACCCCAGCAATGCTGTCAGCATATACCGAGGTGTCCCGAGCGGAAAAGCAACATTCATCCTAAGGAAAGTCGGTGAAGAATTCTTGCAAGGCTTGCCAGTTTGCCCTCCGATTGTGCCATAGTTGACGTTTAGAGATGGGTGGGGGAGGTGGTCGTGCCCAGCTTGATTTAATAGAAATAAGATTGTGATCAGAAGACCCTAAGGGAGAAGAAATTGAGTATGAAGAGTGTGAAGAGTTAGAGGTAAAACAATGGTCAAGAATGTTAGCAAGTGATCGTGTCGATCAGGAACACGTGTAGGGTGTTTAATTATTTGTTCCAGATGAATAAGTAAAGAAAAAAGAGAGTGCCTTAGCTCCACCTGGGTCATCCTTTGCAGAGCCAAGCCACTCTCTGCGATGTACTGTACATCCACTAAAAAACTATTCGGCACCCGTGTCATATTGTATCACGCTGTAAGGGTGCCGAATAATTTTTTTGTGGGTGTACATTGAAATCCACAAGGTAGAGGATCTCAGTGTTCAGGTGTGGATAGCAACGACTCATGGCAAGAAGTGAGATAGTCAAAGAGTTCCAAATAGTTGGTAGAGTTGGAAGAACAGTATAGGAAACAAAGAAAAATAGTCATAGCTGGTAGAGATATTTGGAGCCAGATGACGTCATAAAGGGAAGATTCAAGATCCGTGAGTCGAGCTATAGGTGTACGTGTGTTGCAGTAGGCGCATACACCTCCCTCAGAAAGGAAAGAGGTATAATGGTTGTAGTTGGAGACTTAAAAAGGTTTGGGTGAAGCTGCTTTGGTGTCTGTGATCGAGTGCAAAAACTCAGGTCTATGAAAGTCCGTGGATACATAAACACTCTGGGATACCTCTTAAACACGGAGATGGTTTACATTAGTTTGCACTAAAGAAAATACCGACTTACAGTAGTTTTCATTGTTGTTTTACTATCCTCTACTGTAGGTAAATAGAAAGACGATAATCTAGTTTGTAGATACAAACTAGGTATAAAGAGTCATGGGAAATTAAATATTATGTTTTGAATCTATAATTTGTGCAAAACATAAAACTTGTCGAAAATACGCATAACTCCTTATAGTTCAAAGTGCTAGTTACAAATTTCCAAGTCAAGTTTTGACGGATAACAATACAAGCTATAAATCCGGTACAGGCTGAGACACTCAAAGCACGAAGAGTCACATGTCTTCTTTCTACACTAGACTAAAAATAGAGTCAAAATGATATAATATTACCTTGGCAGTAAGCTCAAGCTGATAAGCAGTTCCTCCCGTCGCGATGGAGTCCAGGCAATAATGTCACCACCTTCTCCACTCGAACGTATTTATAAGCAAGAGCGTTGAGGAGGCGTGGCAAATGACTTCATGCTGAACTCGGGAATTGATTAGCTGTCGCAAGTAACTTTCCGTGTAAACTTTAACATAATCTTCACGCTAAATATTAAATAAAATAATTAAATATATATGACATTAGACCTCATAAACACAAATTATAATTAGATCTGTATTGTATTATGTCTGTTTTTCCTTTACCTAACTTAATTATGTGCCCTAGAAATTTAAAAGGATCATCACATTTACACGTGAATAACTTTATACATTATTTTTGTTCTGTTTCCCTGTCTAATATTCTTTTTACTTATTTGTTTTCAATTCTTCTATCTCTCTCTCTCTCCCTCTTTTTCTGTATGCATATCTATTTCCCTTTACCTTTTGCTTTATCTTTATATCCATCTCTATTCCACACGGTCGTTTAATTTCCTCCTTTGTGTTTCTCTCGTGTTTTTATTTCTCTCTCCTTGTTTGTCTGTTCCTCTTTACTTAAACATGTCTGTGAGTGTTTGTGTGTCCGTTTGTCGGCGCATCACTCGCCTCCCAGACATATAATCTCTACATATTTGGTATCGTTGGAATTGTTTTGACCCACAGATGGTTCTTAACTGGGTTCTATTTCAATACTTTGAGTTTTGGGGTCCCCAAAGAAAATCATAATGTGGTTAATGGGGTATCCTATAACATCAAAGTCGGTTAATGGCGTCTCCTGGGGCACCTAGACCATTATTTATTTCCATTTTGTATTATAATATAATTTAATATATAATTTTCCATTCACAAGAAAATTACTGTTTATTAAACTAATTAAATGTAATTAATAAATTAAAGAATCTTGTTTTGGTGATTCACAAACTTGGCTGCTGTTGTACTCGGTCAACTATCAGCTGAAATCGTGGCGAATTTCGATTTTATTGTCCTATGTTATCAGTTGACAATAATCTTAAAGCAGGGCCTTCTTGGATGGATCCCACTGGTCGGGAAGGCTTTTGGACTCCAGGGCCGACCTGATCATCATCCAACTACTGGGGCCGCAACTGACGTAACCGTTGTTGCTGAAGGATCGGCTTTTTTCACGCTTCATTTTTCCAACATTCGCGGCCTGAGATCCAATTTTTCTTCTATGGAGGACCATCTATTACCCTCGTCCCCCGACCTTTCACACTATCTGAACTTCAACTGACCAAAGCACCTTCGCCCAAACCTTTTCAAGTCTCAAACTACAACCATTATACCTCTTTCCTTTCTGAGGGAGGTGTATGCGCCTACTGCAACACACGTACACCTATAGCTCGACTCACGGATCTTGAATCTTTTCTTTATGATGTCATCTGGCTCAAAATATCTCTCCCAACTATCACTATTTTTCTTTGTTTCCAATACTGTTCTCCCAACTCTACCAACTATTTGGAACTCTTTGACTATCTCACTGTCTTCTTGCCACGAGTCGTTACCCCAACACCGAGATCCTCTACCTAGGGGATTTCAATGTACATAACAGAGAGTGACTTTGCTCTGCAAGGGATGACCCAGATGGAGCTGAGGCACTCTATTTTTTCTTACTTAATGATCTGGAACAAACAATTAACACACTACACGCGTTCCTGATCGACACGATCAACTTGCTAACATTTTTCATCTCTGTTTTACCTCTAACCCCTCACGCTGTCCATGACACAATTTCTGCTCCCTTAGGATCTTCTGATCACAATCTTATTACTATTAAATCAAACTGGGTACGACCACTTCCCCCACCCTCCTCGAAACGCCAACTATGGCATTATCGGAGGGCAAACTGTTAATCCTTGAGAGAGTTCTTCTCCGACTTTTCTTGGGATGAATGTTGCTTTTCCACTCTCGGGACACTTCGGTATGTGTTGACAGTATTGCTGGGTATGAGTGCATTTATCCCATCTTCTACCAAAACTTTCACTTTACAATCATGGTTTGATCGCTCCTGTTCTCTTGCATGCAGGGAGAGAGAAAGGGCTTCTCCTATTACCAACTCCTCTTTCATTGCTTCTAGGAATCGTTGTAAGGCTATTCTTCGTAGGACCAAGAGGAATTTTATGAAAAGAAAGACCGCTGTCCTGACTAACTCTTCTTCTAGTAAATCCTTCTGGTCCTTAACCAAAAACAACTGTAATAAATTCTGCACTCCTTCTTTTCGTCTTCTCTTCCGTCCTGATAATATATAGCCAACTCTCCCCCTGATAAAGCCAATCTCTTTGACACCATATTCTCCTCTAACTCCTCCTTTGACGATCCCAAGTCTATCCCTCGTACTCGTGCTCCTCCTAATTAACCTATGCACTTTCCTATAATCTCCACTCGTAGGGTTGCTGGTGTGTTATCCAGGTTGGATGTGAGTAAGGCGCACGGACCGGACGGAATACCCCCTCGTGTTCTGAGGGAGTGTACTGAAATTCTAGCCCCTGTGCTTGCCTGCCTCCTTCACATTTGCCTCATAACCCAAACTTTTCCTCCTTCTTGCATGGAAACATGCCTCGATTCAGCCCATCCCGAAGAAGGGTGGCCGTTCCAATCCCTCAAATATCGCCCCATTACCCTAACTTCATCCCTTTCTAAGATTTACGAAACTATCTTAAACTCATTATCTCCGTCACCTTGAAGACCACTCTCTTTTGTCGGATCACCAAAATGGCTTTCGCCAGGCGACTTCTACTGGTGATCTGCCCTCCTACTGCACCCATCTTTGGTTATCCTCTCCACTGGGACATGGGGAAACTTTCGTCGTGACCCTCGACATCTCCAAAGCATTTGACAGGGTATGGCACACGTCTTTGCTTTATTATGGTTTCTCTTCCCCACTTTGTTCTCTAATTTCTAGCTTCCTTGAGAACCGATCCATGGCAGTTGTTGTCGAGGGATCGATCTCTCTCTCTTTCCCTACCAGTAGTGGTGTCCCACAGGGTTTTCTTCTTTCACCTACTCTCTTCCTTCTTTTTATCACTGATTTACTTCACACTACGACTAAATCTATCCATTCTTATGCTGATGATTCTACTCTTCACTCTTCTTCACATTTTTACCTTCCCCCTAATTCTCAAATTAATTCTGTTTCCAGAGCTGATATCATTTCATCTATCAGTGAGGATCTGTGAAGCATCTTCGAGTGGGAAGATAAAAACGTGGTTAAATTCAATAGTAATAAAACTCAGTATTTACCAATTACACTTTCCAAATTAGAAGATCTCCCACCAATCACATTTCAGGATGCAATCATTCTGCCAAATTCTAAAAGAGATATGCTGGGTCTCACCATTTCCTCTTATATGTCATGGAAGTCACACATCCACAAC